GTTTTGCTGGTGCTCTTCACACTAACTACACAGCAACTATAATAATTCCATGTAATTTTTATTTTGTATATTCTTATAATATGATATATTATTTATTATTATATTTTTGTATTATATAAAATTTTATTCTCTATATAATAATAATAATAATAATAATATATTGATATATTTTTATTTAAATTTATTTTTAAAAATAATAATTTTAATATAAATATAAATATATATATATTTTACTGAAATAAAAAAAAGAAATGATGATGTGGAGATGTTAGAGAAACTCATGATAATTTTCTCCCATGCGTATGCTCTTATTCTTCTTTCACGTAACTCATCCAAAGTATCTCTATGCATTTAGGGTGTGTTCGTTTGGGGGTTTGGATTTTGAGTTGGGATTTGAATAGTAAAAATTTTGAATTTGAATAGTTGTATGATGTGATATAAATAGGTAATGATGTGATGTTTTGAATGTAAAATTGATTTTTAGTATAATATAAAAAATAAAAAATAGGTGTTTGATTTGATGTCTTTGGGGAGAAATTTTGGATGAATAGTGAGATTTGGACCAAATCTCTCAACCGAACACATTCCGTTATATTTCTTTCACATAATCTTCTATTTTTTTTCATCTCAACGAAAGATTAGATATATATTTATATTTAAAATTAATGTATCATCGGAGAGAGAATAAAATTTTATATAATATAAAAATATAAAAATTATATAAAAAAAACACACAATTATAATAAATATATAAATTAAAGATAAATTCCCGGAGATTTTGGAAATTTTTTTATAATTATGGCTGATGTGGCGCCTAGCAAGAGGTTGAAGAAAATATCTCAGTCTTGGAGATCTGCCGGTTGTGGGTGGATTAAGCTGTCGGCAAAATACTCTGTCCTGTCCGTTGCAAGCAAAGATATGTGCAATATATTAATCAAACTCTCACTTTCAATTATTATTCACATTTTTTTTAACAATATTTATATGTTATTTAATTCAAATTATCATCATTTTTAATAAAATAATATATTTTTCAATATAATCATTATAAAATTCAAACTTTCAATTATTCACAAACTTTTAAAAACAAATATTTAGATATTATCTAATTCAAACTATCACACTAATATATTATTTTTTAACAAAATAATAATTTTTTCCAATATAATCATTATAAAATTTAAATCCCAAAACAAACAACATAAAAAAATCCTTATTTCAAAATCCTAAAAATTCAAATCTAAAATTCATTTTTCCAAACAAATATATTATTTATATATGTCATTATGCAGAGAATAAAATTTTATATATAATATAATTAAATAAAAAGTATAAATACTTATTTATAATTAACACAAATTAATACTCAAATTACATTTATTATTAATTTTATAAATTTAATTTAATAGACATTTTATATCATAATTTTTTATTACCTATTAAATCAATTCATATAAAAAACTTACATGTAATATTGTATTTACTTCTTTACATACAAATTTTATAATCCAACTCAATATAAATTAGATCCATAGAATCAACAGAATACCTTTTACTTCCTTATTCTTGTTAAAGTGAGTCTTACCTGGTGTAGAATATTATGTATGATTTAATTAATTAAATTAATTTATATTTATTAAGTATGTTTTAATTTAGCAAATTTTATTCAAATTAAAAAAAAAAATGTACATTGTTATAGAATAGACAAAAAAAAAATATATGTTAATTAAGATTGTACAGATGGAGTATATATTTATTTTTTGCACAAAAAAATAATAACAATTTTGTCTTTGTCTTTTTGTTTAAAAGTAATAATGTGATAGTAAAATAAAAGTATTTTGTGAAAAAAAAGTAATAATTATTTTATAATTCAACAATCTAAAATAAAAATATGTACTTCCGCTAAGTTACTCTCTGGACAGAGGATGACATAAAAAGGGAAGTACATGAGTTCTATGCCGAGCAGCACTTGCCAACACGTAGCTATATTTTATGAGTTGACGGAATCAGTGGGTGTGTTTGTTTTGTGATATAATTTGAATGAATACTTATTTATGTGAGATATAAAAAATTGTGTAAGACACATAAAAATAATAAATATGTATGATATATTAATATTTTTAAAAAATATGTGAAAGAAAAATGTTGAAAGAACACAAGTAATATTTTATGACATAAAATGGTAAAAAATAATTATTAAAAATAATTATAAAAACCAGAACATCCTTTTGAAATTTGTATATTTTGAGTCAAAAAAATTCCACTCTAGGCATCTAATATGTACCATTCTCGTTGTCGGTTATGATTCAAAAATAATTAGTGGGCATTAAGAGAAAGAAAGTGGCTAGCTGGTACGAGGTTCATTTTTGTTTTTATGATGCTTTTAAATTGCTTTCGAGAAATTGTCTTGTTTTTCTATTTCTGCACCAACAATTGTGGTATCAGAGCAAACATTTTGTCCAAGTATCGATCCCTTTTTACGCAAAGAGAGCGAAAGCTTTATTTTTCTCCCAAACTCCACGCAGGAGAAATTTGTCCGTAGACATTCTCAATGGCAAGCAACAACGATTCATTTTCTCAAGCTCTAATTCCCATCTTCAAATGCAAAAATTACCATCTTTGGAGTCTTAAAATGAAGACTTTGTTCAAATCTCAGGAGCTATGGGATATTGTTAAGAGTGGATTTGAAGACTCAACTCTTGCACCGGAAAAATACAGTCAAAAAAATTGAGAAAAAATAATAATTAAAAAAATACTAAAGCCCTACTGTCATTCAATCGGCTATTATATGTCAAGTTCGAAGTCTCTATTTCGTAATCTTAATAAGACACAGAAAAGTGAAGTACGACTTAAAAATAATAAACAAGTTCAAGTTGAATGGCGAGGTACAGTTGCTATTAAATCTTTACAAGGTGAAACTAAAATTATTCATGATTTTTAGTATGTATCTAATTTAGCTCATAATATGTTAAGTGTTGGACAACTAATGAAAAATGGTTTTTCGATCGTGTTTGAAGGAGATTCTTATGAAGTTAAAAAACAAAATTTCAGGTCATACAATTGCTTCTATTTGTACGACAGTGAACAAAATATTTTCGCTTGATGTGTCGAGTGATGTAAAGAATATTTTGATTGTCAAAGATGATAATAAAACTAAATTATGGCACTTACGATATGCACACTTACATATAAATGGCTTAAGGCTCTTCGTTCAAAGTTTGATCATAAATTTGAAAAATGCATTTTTATTCGATATAGTCCACAGTCCAAAGCATATCGTTTATATAATCCTATGAGTGGCAAAGTGATAATAAACATGAATGTATTGTTAAATGAAGAGACAACAATGAAATGGGAAGTTGGTAACGATTTTTCTCCAAGTCACGTAACTCCAATATTAAAAGAAGAACAACCTGACCAATAGTTTATTGGGTTATTCAGCAGTGTTAGTTCAGAAAGTTTTGCGAGTTTTGAAAATTCAGATTCAAATTCTAGTGAAATAGAAACTTTTGGTCTTTGAGTGATCTTTATAACTCATGTGATTTTGCTTGGATGGTTATTGACCCATCTACTTTTGAAGAAGATGCAAAATATTCTTATTGACAGGATGCTATGATGGAAAAGATACATGTTATTGAAAAAAACTCAACATGTGAGTTAGTTGAAACTCCTACGAATAAGAATATTGTGGGTCTTAAATGGATCTTCCGGACAAAGTATAATGCTAATGGAAGCATTCAAAAGCATAAAGCTCAGCTTATGGCGAAGAGTTATTCCCAACAAAAAAGTATTGATTACAATTAGACTTTTTATCTTGTTGCATTATTTGAAACTATAACGGTTATATTGACTTTAGCTACTCATTTAGAACTATTTGTGTATGAATTTGATGTGAAATATGCTTTTTTAAATAGAGGCTTATTGGAGAAAGTGTTTGTTTCTCAACCGCAAAGCTTTACTGTGCATGGCAATATAAATAAAGTCTATAAAGCAAACACTCCGTGCGTGGTATAACAAGATTGATTCTTTCTTCCTTGAACATGGACTTACAAGAAGCGAAAATGAGCCTGCTCTTTACGTTGATGACATGATTTATTTTGGATCATCGAAGTCCTTGGTGGATAAATTTAAATCATGCATGATGACAAAGTTTGAAATGTCTAATTTGGGATTGTTGACGTATTTTTTGGGGCTTGAAATTATTCAAAGTGGAAATGAATTTTATTTTATTTTTTGTGTCAAAAGAAATATGCCGACGATTTTTTGAAGAAAAATAATATGTTAAAGTGTGATGTGTCAACTGCTCAAGTGAACATCAATAAGAAATTGCAGTGAAATGATGAAACAGAGAAGGCTAATCCAACATTCTTTAGAAGTTTAGTTGAAGGTTTAAACTATTTAATTCATACAAGGCTTGACATTGCATTTTTTGTAAGTATTATTTCCAAATTTATGCATAATCCGACAAAGCAACATTATGAGCTACAAGGAGAATACTACGTTATGTAGCTGGAACCATCAATTTTGGAGTTTGGTACAACAAAACACCAAATTTCAGATTGATTGGCTTGTGTCAATAATTAGGCAGCGTGTTTGGATGATTGCAAGAGCATCTCTGGGTACTATTTTTTACCTTGGTTCTGGAGGTGTGACGTGGAGTTCTAAGAGGTAAGAAACTGTGGCTTTGTCGTCTTCAGAGGCAGAGTATGTAGCATCGACAACAACAACAAAACAAGCTTTATGGCCGATAAAACTGTTAACCGATGTGAACATAGAACAAATGGGAGCAACATTGATCTTTTGTGAAAATGTGCCTGCTATAGTTATGTCCAAAAATCCTGTATTTCATGGAAGAACCAAGCATATCGACGTGCAACATAATTTCAGTTGGCCGCTTGTAGCAAAAGACGGGATTGCATTAGAGTTTTGTGACACAAATGAGCCAAGTAGCTGATATTTTGATAAAAGCTCTTCTTCAAGCAAAACAAGAGTTGTTCAGAATTTTACGAGAATATGTAAGTTTAAATCAAGAGAGCTTATCAATTATGATTAAAAAAATTATGCAATAAAAATATAATGTATTTGATATTATTGTGAAAAATAAAAATTGTTTATGAGAAGTTGTCCTGTTTTTCTATTTTCGCACCAACAATTGTCATCGTAATCAATATTCATCGTCACCAGAGGTACCCTGCAGCAAGATCTCCATCACCAAAAGCTCATTCCACGAGTCTATCGGCCCCGGCAAGCACCAATGCAAGCAGTCATTGATCGAATCCTCCGTCGCCGGATCGTACGGCGGCTCCCGCCGGTACGCTCCGGGATGCCCGTCCGGCCTCAGCAGCGACATATACGTCACGTCAAACAGCTTCAGCTTCACCGTCTCCTCCGCTGCCGCTGCCGCCGCCCTAGCCCTCTCGAACTCCTCCAGCTCCGCCCTCCGCATCACCTGGTCCGTCTCGTTGATCTCCACCTCCCCCGTCTTAAACGGCCTCGTCCTGTTACAATAACCCCCCGTGTTCCACTCCCCGTTCTCAAAATGGTCCGGCGCCAAGCTCCGGAACACCGCCACCGTCCTCGCCCTCCCCCTCGCCTTCTCCACGATGAATCTCAGCGTCGTGTTCAGCGCCTTCCTGTACGCGTACCGGAACCCTAACTGCGTGATGTTCGGATTGTGGCAGTTATGGCATCCGATCAACGTCCTGTTCACGTAATACAGCGCCGATTTCAGAAACCACTTCCCGCCGGCGATCACGACGTAATCGTGATCCTCGTATTGCTCCGCCCACACGTCGTCCGTCACATCCAAATGTATTCTGATCATGTCCGGCGCCGTCGCCGCGCCGTTGTCGTCCTCGAACGTGACTGCCTTCGTGAGGAACGGCGACCAGAGCAGCGACACGTTGAAGCTGTACGTCGGGAAATTCCATCTTCTGTTCTTGTATTGCTCGTCGTGGTAGACGTCGACGGGCTGTTCGATCTGAGACAGCATGCAGAGCAGGGATTGGACATGGTTGCGCATTATCGAATCGCCGGCGAAGGCTAGGGATTTGTGGCGCATCATTTTGAGGAACTTGATTGGGTCGAATCTCGGCAGATCACAGTCCCGCGGTTTCCATCTCCAGTAAATGTAATGCAAATCCGGCCGTCCATTTCGGATGCAGTTCTGAGGACCGTCGATCACATCGCACGTGAAGTTCGTGTACAGTGGGCCGTCCGGGTCGGGTATCCAGTCTCCCTTAAATAAGTCACATTTTTTTGCAGAAACTGCCATAAATTAATAATGGTAAGTAATTAAAGCAACGAAATTGATTAAACCCTAATTATATTAGAAAGGGGAATTCCTCCACCATTTCGGCTATCATCGTTGGTTGGCGGCGGCGGCGGCGGTGGTGGCGGCGGTGGGGATGGGATCAAGGTCTGGCTGTCGGTGATGTTCAATCCTGCTGCTGGAGGTTCCTCGTTATTACGATTACTGTTGTTGCCTGGAAAAATTGGGGAAATTAGCAGTAATGAACTGGAGGAAGAGAGGAGGCGATAAAGAAGGCCGAAGAACAGAAAACCGACGGCGGATTTTACAAATACAGATGAACATATACAGCTCCTGTGATCCATTATTAATTCTTCTTCTTCTTCTTCCTAACTCGAGAAATTACAGAGACCAGTGAAGATGAAGGACGAAGAAGAAGTAAATGATTAATCGGTGAGAATGGAGGGGGAGACGATCTAAATTTGGAATTGATAGCCTACCGTAATGAAGGCGGGGAGTTGATTGTTGAAGAGGTGGATTTGTCTGGTAGCGCAGAGAGTGACGTGCGGATACATTCATCCATTCATTCCATCTGCAGTCGTTGATCTGTTCTGCACCGCCATTAATGGAGGAAGATTACATTAATGGAACAGCTTTAGTTTGCGCAGGCGATGAAGTCACACGATGATGTCACGTCACAACAACTCGCACCGCACTAATCGTCGTTCGTTCCCAATTTACTTGAGATAGACGCGCCGCCATCGTTTTTGTCTGCAACAAAGCCAACAACCAAACCACGACTTTTCCGGCGGCGGCCCGGCGGCACCCTCGACCGCTCCTTGTGTATATTGAAAATGTGTTTTCATTAATTTATTTCAATTTCTATATTTAAAAATAAAGTAAAAACCAATATCATTTCATTTGAAGACTTCGAATTAAGATACAGTTGATTGAAGTCAAGATTGTTCAAAACTATAAAGACACCTCTTGAAAAATACCAAAAATGTGACGACACTGAATTATGTCCAAAATGAAGTCCTATCAAAATCTTGCTCGTTTAATATTGTTTGTTTATGGGCTTAGCCTATATCTTATAATTATGGGCTTTGTTCAGTTACTTATCTATACGAATTCGGCTATCACTTAAATAGTTTTACATTTTGTTTGTCATTTCACATTCTTTTGTATTTTCATTTTTCATTTCTTAACATTTGAAATGACAAACACAATTATATTTACCATAATTGTAAATGACAATATAAAAAGTTGTGATGATAGATTTCTAAAATTTTATTTTGAAAGGAGATTTCGCTGGTATCGTCAACTTTTCTTTAGAAAAATATATGGCTTGTGCAATATAAATTAGTACTTTACTTATCGTATGGATTGTACGAAGTTATACGTATTCTTCTATTTGTACGAACTAGAGTCAACGAGCAAAAAGCTTGTGAAGTAAAATATGAAACTAGTGAAGGATAAATCCGAACTTTGAAAGATTTTTTTCATTAGAAAACCTCACAGTAATCATAACAAAATTGGATACTATTAAACAACGCTGTGCCACATCATTAATTAAAATATATATATATATAGAAAATAAGAGAGAGTGTATTTGTTAACAATCTTCAATTCATTTGACACTATTTATTTTTAAAAAATTATATTATTTTTTTTTTAAATAAAATATCAAATTAAATATTAATTTTTTTTGTTTTTTTCAACTTTTCAAATATTCAAAACTCTCCAAAAACTTTGTAAATGGAACTATGGAGCTATTGGCTTTGGCTATGGTCTGCAAAACAACTTGAGAGATTCATATTTTATGTCATGTGTTATAATTAAATTAGGACACATGACACATACGTATATATATAATATATATATATATATATAAATGGTTTTTTTTTTTTTTAATTCATAAATTTTTATATTTTACAAAATAATAACGATATTGATATATTTTATTAATTTAAATTTTAAAATATATAAATATAATTATTATTTGATTTTATTAAACAAATAAATATTACATAATTTATTGAATAAAAAATAATTATAAATTTTATCATAATTAAATAGTAATATAAAATTATAGTACTCCCTTCGTCCCTTAACAACCTATCTATTTTTCTATTTTGGTATGTTATATAACAATGCATCCATTTCCTTTTTTTTTTTTTTTTTTTTAAGTAATTGTAATATCTACTTAACGTTACAGATACCCTTCCAATTTAGAATATATTATACAAATGTCATTACATCTATATTATACAATACTAATAGAGTTAATTTAGTCTTTTTATCTTTATTTCTACTTTATTCCAATATAATACTAATATTTCTAAAACTTCGTGCAAAAAGTAAAATGAATATATATAGATATGGGATGGAGGGAGTATTAAACAATAAATATATTTAATTTAAAATTAATTATTAATAAAATACTAAGGCCATCTCCAACCCTACACTTCATTTTTGCATTTTTGCAGTTGCTACGGTGAATAATTCAACCATAAACTTCAATTTTTACTCTATATATTCCATATATATTTCTCTTTTATATTATTTTATATAACTTTTTATATTTATAAATTACACCCTCAACTTTAATTTATTTTTACATTAGATCAATACAAATATAATTTATATTTTATTTAAAAATTACATATATAAAAATTAGCTTTATAATTAATAACTATTACAAATAAAATAATTTTAAATAAATAATTAAATACTATCAAGACAAATATGATATAATCATTAAACATAGATAACGTAATATTATTATTTCATAACAATTTATTACAAAAACATACAATACAAATTATTTTTTAAAAAAATAAAAATTATATCACTTTTCAAAAATAAAATTATGTATCAATTTAAAAATATAATTATATATTATTTTTTAAAAAAATAAAATTACATATTACTTTCCAAAAACTAAAATTATATCACTTTAAAAAATAAAATTATATATTTTTCAAAAAAAATAAAATTACATACAACTTTTTAAAATATAAAACTATATATCATCTACTAAAAAATTAAAATTATACCAAAATTATAAAAAATACCAAATTCAATAATACTTTTCATTCTTATATTTTGAGTAAAATCTATTGATGAAAATGTAAATGAACCTTGAAAATTTTTAAGATACAAATGAACCTCCAAAAAATTGAAAATTTTGAGGATAATATTAGTATAGATAAATAGAATGATACGATAGAAGCATACAAATTTGGGATAGATGTTTAAAAAAAAATTGAGAAATATTTAGGATTGAAAGAGTTTTGTGAACAATCTTGATTTTCAAGTATGTCCGTAAAACTTTAAAATGTAAAAGACTTTTGTAAATTTGACACTACAAAAAAATTAGATTTTTCTGCGGAAATATTTTTGTCGCAAATATGATTATGGGCGTAGCAAACACTAATTATTTACGAAACGTGACATATTTTATTTTATCAAATGATTTTAATCTTATATGCTACGACTATTTGCTATGATATTTCGTAACAAATATTTGCGATATGAAATTGTGATGGAATCCCGTGACAAACTTTTTTGCTATAAATATTTGCTACACATTCCGTAGCAAATATTGCTACATGATTTTGTCGCAAATTACTAAGGTAGTATTTGTGACAAATTTCTATAGCAAATTGTTATGGTAGTATTTGTAACAAATTTTCGTAACAAAAATTATTCTCATCATTTGCTAATTTTTTCATTTTCAAAACCTTAATATTAAGCAATCCAATTTCAACATTGAAATACATGCCATTTCCAAAACTTGTAAAGCCTAAACAATAAACAAATTTATAACAATAACAAAATACATGCATTGACATTGATTGAATATTGAATTATCACTCAAATGTATCAAAATATTTACGATATAGAAAAACTAGATAAAATATTTTCCTACAAATATGAAAAAAGTCTAGCAATCAACAGTATACAGTATACGAAAAATCAAAAGAAATATTATCCCGAATGAGTAAGGAATCACAATACCAGAGCACCATCATCATCATAATTAGGATTACGTCGGTAGAAGTCACCTCCTCTCATTCGCCTACGCTCTTGCATGATAGTCTGATTTATTATTGTTTGATATTGAACATCCAAGTTAGTCACACAATGGTCCACATGAGATACGTGATCACGGATCTCCCCAACATCGTCATCTACCTTCTTTAATCGATCATCAATTCATCATTGGCGAATGAACCTGTAGCGTCCCCGTCGTTAGTGCTAAAAGATGACTGTAAATGACGGACTGTCGAAGCCAATGACCCCAATCCGAAAATGCAATTTTTTTTATCGCGTGGCACTAGTTTGAGAAACAATTCTTCTTGATCGTATTTTGTTCCTTCTTGAGTAATATCATGTTTGATGTCTTCAAAGTTCTCCTAATATGAGTTTAAGTAAGACATCGAATATTAGTTTTGAAAAAAGACTACTCGAATAAAATATCAAATTTTGGTCTATTGATTTCATAATAACTTACAACAACTTGTCTTCATTGCGATTTTATATAATTCTTTAGAATGTGTTCCTTAGTATTGGTCCATGTATATGTTCCAACCTTATTGAACTCATTTTTAAAATGACAAAATATATATTAATTGTTAAGTTAGATTAACGTTAATCAAAATAAATAAGTAAATAATTACATACCAACTTTTATGATGTTTCCACAAAAGATCGAGACCCTCCAATATGTGTCGACTCAGCGGATGCAGACGAATTACTTCGACGCCTATTCTTTTTTGCAATTTCATATTTTTTCTTTATTTATCAAAACCCTATATTCTACACCATTCAGCCAAGACCGTTTTATCAACCTGCTCATCCTCTTTCCTTTCCACATTCGTTTGAATATCATATATCCAATGAGTATAGGCACTTAATGCTTTCAACTTATAGTAACGCCTTACTTTTTCTTCAATCGAAAGGTCCCAAGTGACATAATTTGCATTACAATGTCATATGCACATACATATAAAGTGTAGATAAAAACTATTTGAGGTGTTGCTTGTATTTTGACCAGCTATAGATAGATTGAGGAATTAATAATGTCGATCTGATTAAGAATGAAAATAAAAGGGATATTTTTAGAGGTTATTATGATCGGTGAAGTCAAGATTGACTCATCAATATTCCATGGGAAATAAAATGAGATCAACATCTAGATAGCTAGCCTAGTATCCATGCATAATTAATAGATAGATAGACCAGAAGGTAGTGATTGTGCTTGTAATGGTAGTAATTTATGACTCAGTTTTGCTTCTATAAAGTTAAGACTAATTTTGTTTTGAATATTATTAATACTTATTATTGTTTTCTTTCTGAATGAAAATGACCATAATTAAATACATCTGACTAGCTTTAGATTTATGTTCATTACAACGTCAAATGAAGAATGAATGTTGCTGCAAATAAAATAGTGGTACTATATAAGTAATGTGTGTTTGTTAGTTTTATTAGATATTTTGTGTGCAGATATGGACTTATACGTTATAATCATACTTTAATATGTGTAACCATGTCGAATGTCTGATCATCTTTTTACTCATTTTATATATACCTTAGGAGCTAGAGTAATTCAATAGAGGATCCTATTTTTTTCACATCAAACATAAATGGATGCATTACCTTGTAATATTAATGTTTCGGGACGTTGGGATGGTTGTCTTAATTCAATAGAGGTATTCAAACAGTTTTGAAGTTTTAGTAGCTAGAGAGCTTCTATTTGAGAGTTTTGAATGTATCATACATGATAAAAAAAAAAAAATCATCTAATAAATGAGCACGAAGTTTATAAAATCAGTGTGAAAGCCTAAACAATTAGTCGTAATAAAATATATTT